AATGGCCTGCATCCTGTTACTGAAATATATCAAACAAACACAATTGTTCTGTCAGAATATAGGTCTACTTAAGTAACTATCATTGCTTGTTCTAAATGACTGTTTTTGTTATCTTCTCTTTAAGTTAACCAGTGTATTCAAGTTGATCTTTAATAAATACTCCAGATCTATCAGAAGTTCATGAGCTAAAAAAAACATAAAATATGGAGTTTTGTCCGAATGTTATATTGTTCTTGTTAAAATATCAACCAGCCAATAACATGTATCCGGTAATTGAAAAATATCAAAACAACCACACAATTATTTTGCCATGATATTATTTACAAGCCAGTATTTGTTGACAAATATGTTTGACTGTTCATAAAACCGGACATAATGCAATATTTCCTTTAAAATGTAGTGTTTTATTTTTTCGTGTACTAAAACCACAACATCCCAAGCATGTTTAAATAACAAACAGCCGATATTATGTTTCCAGTAATTGAAACATATCAAAACAAACACAATCATTCCGTCAGAATATAGGTCTACTTAAGTAACTTAAATTTCTTGTTAAGAATGCCTTTTTTTCCCCAAGGAAACAAGTTTATTCCAGTTAAATTCCAGTTAAATCTTCAAGAAAACAGAAGCTCATGAGCCCAAAGAACAAAATATGGAATTTTGTCCTAAAGCATCTTCTAGGTATTTATGAGATCAAATTTGAAAACAGGTTCAGGAGGGACGGGTTCGGGAGGGGGAGGGTGATATGCCGCTTTGCGTTTGTAAGAGGAGGTCGATTGCTCCCACCCCCCCCCCCCCACCCCCACCACCTCCACCTGTGATGGTGTTTGTCAATTTTCTATTCACAGTATCTAAGTAAACTCTGAATACATATTAAAGAGATGAAGAAAAAAACGTTGAATACATGTTTATCTATGCATTACTGTATTCTAAAAATAGGCTACATGCACAAGCTTCTGAATCATAGTTTCCATTGTTGTTAAACCAACGTTACTAATACTTTGCACCATTGGGAATGCTGTGTGTGCGTCCATGATATCCTTTCATGCTGTGTGACCCAAAACTGAATTGACATTCCTTCTCAAGGTTAAATACTTAAGAATCGTGCACTTATTCACAATCACATATCAGAAATATGAATAATCAAATACATATCACGTATGAGGGAAACTGGCAACAAAAGTTTTAAGGCAGAGTATAATTGATTGGGTGATGATTTTTTTTTACATGACTGGAAATAAAGCAATATTGTGCCTGTAGGTAAGCAACTATGGTTTAATTCCTATCCGAGAGACTTGGTTAATTGGGATTAATGCCTTAGCAAATGGCAGTAACAAATCGACTTTGTTTCGAACTAAGTTTTCATAATGTACAACTATAATAAAAATAAAAAATAAAAAAAGTATGAATAGCTGACAGAGATCGGTGATTAGGGGGACTATATAGTTCGACGATGAACCTTTTAACGACCCACCCTCTTTTAAAGATAAGGTTGAGTTCTTGTCGATCAATAGAATTGTGAAATAAACTGTCTGGGAGCGCTTTGGAAGCGTTGATTATGTATAATGTAGTAGATAGGACAAATGTGTTTATGATTTTAATATATGGTACCACAAGGTTGAGGAATCGTTACACTAAATGAGAAATTAACGCACTGCACACACACAAAAATGGGTATACTACACGCACATTAAACATGACTGTTTGGTTCAAGCACTCCAGCTATTTGTTACCGTGTTTGAATTTGAGAGTATTTGACGAGCAGCTCTCGTTTTCAGGTCACATTTCTAACCATTAAGGCCAGAATTCTCAAAGGAGGTTTGTCGACAAACCTAGGTTTACGTGCGTCATATGACGCGTTTCGGATGCGTTACAGACAAATGTTCAGACAAACCTTGGCCTGAAACGCGTCATATGACGCACATAAACATAGGTTTGTCTACAAACCTCCTTTGTGAATTAGGGCCTAAGACTTTATTCTAAACTAACATAAAAGAAACGAATCGTTGTTTTACTTTGAAGAAATTTTTTTTAGAAAGGGCGTAATCTTGACCCATAAAAGGAACGTCCGGTTTTTATTCTTTGGGGGTTAACAAGTGAACCGATTCAGGTCATGAATAGAGAGGAATTCCTCACTTTAGAAGAGAATAGACCCATTTGTATAGGCCCGGTATGCGAGCCGTAGGTAGTACTTCAAAACAGATACAACTAACCAAACAAAGTTCATCGGGGGGAGCCTTGGTTTCATAGAAAAGGGAGAAAGGGATAGTTTGATATATACAGTGGAAATAGGAAGTAAGTTGGAGAGATGGGAGAAAAGGAGAGAACTATATACATGTATATATAGTATAGCAATAGAGAGAGAGAGAGAGAGAGAGAGAGAGAAATATATATATATACAGATAGAGAAAGAGAGAGAGAGAGAGAGAGAGGGAGTAAAATATATGGAATTTCAAGAGAAAATAGATATTGTTTCTTTATTACCAACATTTGTGATGTTAGGCGATATGAAACAATGGTTTCGTACGTTTTTCATAACATATGTATTATCAGTTAAGTTTGATCAATAAAGTTCTGAGAAAATATACTGTTTCACGTTTAAATTTATACAGCCTACAACAATATATACCCTTTGGAAGATCTCCTGTGGTATATTCCATATCGCTTATCAAGTCCACTTCTGTATTAGTTTGTGCCTTGAAACTACTCAGCCATAAACAAGTTTAAAAAAACACCAGTAGCATACGTCATCATCAACCCTCGACAGTGGTTTCCCTTTGTAATTTCTTTCTACCAATAGGCCTACTGTACCACCAAGTCCCTTTTGTATATGTTCAGTGAGAAACTTACTCGCTCCCCGCATACGGTATCCGCCCCAAACTCTTCTGTGGCGATCGCTTCCCAAGACAACGCCCTCGCGTCTATCTGCTCATAGTGTGCATTATACTGTGTGGCTTCACCATTCGGACGCCAATTTCTATCTGCTACTAGCGCGTTCATTCTGTCCGCCGTGTATGTGTTGCTGTGGCGTTTATTTACGGAGCGTGTAGTAAGTATACGCAAATTTCCATGTAACGATGTATTTGGACTTGAACTATTATGTTCGAGTTATCTCTTTCTGTTACGAATGTGTATGTTTGTATCGTGTTTAGTGCGAAACACCATGGCGTGAATATCTGACAATGAACAGTTGTACATATATGAATGTCCTTCGAAACGAAAAGTGCACTTTGGCATAAATTGTCTCTCGCTGTACGTATGGGTGTGTGACCATGAAACTATTTATGGCTATATACAAACAGCAATGGAGGTGGATAGTTTGTAATGAGATGTGATGACAGTATATATTTACTTTGCTTGTTAGCGTCACTTGTATCGATTTATAGATTGGTAATTTTATATTCGCAAGAGTATAGCATGTATGTTTTAGTATACAGTATGGACATGTAAGTCCTCAATCATAATCTTCCAGCATTATGGTCATAAAAGTATTATTTACTTTGCTTGTAAGCGTCACTTGATGTGTAGATTGGTAATTTTATATTCGCAAGAGTAAAGCATGTATGTTTTAGTATACAGTATATGTACCTGAATCATATCTACTATCATTATGGTCATTAAAGTACACATCGTAGTGAATAGTGGTGGCACACCTATATATTGGCCTTGTTCTAAACCTCATAATAATAAATAGGGTCATGGAATATTGGCTTTATCATACCCAACGTCGAACTTTTATGTGGGATATAGGCCTATAATGTTTCGTATTAAAAAGAAAGGCGTTGGTGATTATAGTCAGTTCTTTACTGATTGCCATTACAACAAGAAACAACAACAACATATCGCTGCATTTCGCTTTACTATGTACACAATCATTCTTTTCAATTAATCGTGTTTGTTATAAGTCAAATGAGCTGTGAAATTCTTTTGGTTTGTATGTTTAGCGGTATCGCAACGTATTCGACTTGAATGGAAGTGAATTGAAGTATATCCTACTCGTTTTACTCCACCAGCTAACAAGGGCCAAAATCAGTGAAAAATGACCGTTTTGTGTTATAAGCTAGTGAAATCCTTGCTCCTGATTGGCTATCAGCAGATTTGTGACATATTTTCGTCATTTGTCATTGAAAGAAGGCTTTGTGAAACGGGTCCAAGTGTTGAGTTGTATCATTTCAGATTCAAATACAAATATAGGGACATGCCTATTTCGGTATAACATGTGTGAGTTTGGTTATAATATATAGATGCACACTTATTTATGTTTTGAATGTCTCTGTATCGATGAGTATTGATAAGAAATCATGTATTTTTATATATTCATAATTGTCGGTTGATAATGTATGTCACTGGTAGTCTAGCTTTGGAAAAAAAATTTGAGGGATATATAATAATTGACATTTCAAGCACTTTTTTAATTATTTACAACTAGCCTGTTTATGGGTTATGGTTGTAGAACCCTATTTGAAAAATCGAAGACTTTCTTTTTAAAGTTAAAATTGTATTAAGACACAACAAAATGTAAAGCGTATTACACTTTATGTCATCATAAAAAATAGAGTAAAAATATTCCCGCCGAGGTTCTGCCGCGTAACATCTGAAAGAGTCTTTACTATTAGCTCGTCTAACCCGGCGATGCTTGAAAATGATTGTGGGGGTGAAAAGAGGCAGTTGCCAAACACTAAACGCTCTGGGGGTGTTTCTCTGAAAACGATATTATCTTTTATGTTACTAAAACGATGATAACAGTCATAATAAAGCTACATGAATGCAAGTCATTGTCTGCACACAAAGCTGATTGCGTTCACGTGAGGTTAAGAGTCATCTGCTCAAGCACCAATGATAAGAGTTTTTCCAATGTTTTTCCGCCCAATTCCAGTTTCATTAACAATAAACATCGTTCTCCTTTAGGTAAAATATAAAGTCGATTTTTAGAATGCCGCCCCTGGTTGTTTCATTCAGCTGACTTTGTTAATTTATCGTGTGTTCTTTTCTTTTTGTAGGTCAAAAAAATATAATTCAAGATGGGTATGGAACTGGGAGGATGTGCCAAGTGCTCGAAGTATCTTCTTATTGTCTTCAATGTCCTCTTCTTTGTAAGTATGTTTGATTACTTGATTGATTGAATGAATAATTGATTGAATGATTGATTGATCGATTGAATGATCGATTTAGTGAGTGGAAAATGTTTTGATTTTTGATTGAGTGACTTCAATGCTAGATTTACAAATAAAAATAATCTGAAAGTTTGAGTGAAAACAGACCATTATTAATGATATAAATTGGGAAAACTGATCTGATCGATTCCTTAATTCTCCCGACTTTATTAGTACAATTTATTAACATTTTAGGTAAATGTAAATCATTACAAAGTGTTGAAGGAATTTTAAAAGCCTGTCATATCTTATTTTCATGGAAAAACAGTTGGGAAAATTCAAAAATGGTTGGGAGAATTTACTGTTGGTGTGGACCAGTGACGCCTTTAAAGAAAACCATAAATATCTTTGTGGTTTGAGAATTTTTTTCAGGATTTTTTGCATGCTAGAGGGTAAGTACAGTAGAAGGAATATAATAAGTAAGATTTCATACAACAAGTACAGTTTTTTCCATCAACCTTCAACAATTTTATCGAGTCTCATTGATCAAAAATATAATATTTATAATCTCCATTCTATAGCTGGTCGGTATCGCTCTCCTAGCCGCCGGCATCTGGGTGATCGTCCAGCCTTACCAGCTCGAGATTCTCGAGATCCTTAACAACCCTCTCATCAAGAACAGTGCTTACCTCCTCATTGCCCTAGGATCCTTCATCATCGTCGTGGCTGCTCTAGGATGCTGCGGTGCCTGCATGAACTCCAAGTGCCTCCTCGTGGTCGTAAGTAATGTCCTTTCGAGGGGTCAGTGACACAAAGACCTAACTCCATTTTGGCCATTTCGAGAAAAAGTGGTTTATGTGTCACCGAGCACTCGGGCCATAAGGAGTTAAGTCTATGTTTCACTAGCCATTGACTTCAATGGGGTTTTGGGTGGAGTTAAATCTTTGTGTTTCCTGGGAAGCCCACAATAATCTGAACATTTTGATATCAAATACTCATGTTGGCAAAATATGGAGTTACGTCTTTGTGTCACTGAACCCTCGCTATACAGTGCGTCCCAGAAAAAAACGAAGCCGAGAACCATCGATGTTTTATCATAACTTAATCACAATTATGATTAATAAATGACACATATTAAATTTTGTAAAACTTAGATCCTCCTCTTTCGTTTGATGTAACTCATATGATGCATATTTAACGCATGAGTGATTAAAAAGCATCTTATGAGTTGCATCAAATGAAAGAGGACGATCTAAGCTTTACAGATGTGTGTCATTTATTAATTATAATTGTAATTAAGTTATGAATATCGATAATTCTCGTTTTCATTTTTTCTGGGACACACTGTGGTTTAGATTTGTGTTTGATTGATCGCAACTTCCAAATTGTATAACTTTCTTATTTTTAAGTGGAATAGACTCACATTTTCACTGACCTGTTCTTCTCATTGTTCTGCTTCTAAGAAACAAACTTAACAGGGTGGACTTCTCCTTGAAATGAGTGAACAATTTAGTTTTTTATCTTAGTTAAAGATTTAATTGAGTACTTTCCTACGGTTAAATTGTGAAAGAAACTGTCTGTAATCTGGAGAGGTCGTCTATACAGTGTTGATGTACATTGAGGTTTTGGAATGATCGAGATGAAAAGAAGCTGAATTAATAGTCCCTTTTTACAAGGACTCGTTATATTTATGTTCTCAATCTTAACTCTCCATAGAAAAAGTGGTGGGGGGGGTGTTTTGGGTTGCATCAAATCATTCTTAATTTATCATATTATTTTTCTGTTATACTTTCTCAGTATTTCATCATCATCCTCATCATCTTCATCGCTCAGCTGGTCGGATGTGCCCTGGTCCTTGCCTACAGGAGCGAGGTATGATGACGTAATGTTAGAATAGTACAGGGGCTGAAACATTTCCCTGTGGAACACCATACTAACTGACAAGGGAAGTGGTGGCCATATGGTTGTGCCGTCTATCGAAAAACTTTAGAGGTGCAGTTTGTAAGGGGGAAAACCTAACTCCATTTTGGGTTTTTTTTATTTTTTTCTAGCTTTGATTTATGTTTTCGTCCTTATTCAATTGTTATGCGTAGTTAACTGCTTTTGTGAAGAAACTGCGCGATATCAATTTTCAATTATTATTATAGCATAACATGTACTTCACCTAAAAAGCTAGTTTTGGCATTGTTCTTAGACTGATCTTATTGTGCAGCTAGGCTATATAACTTAGCGACTATAATCAGTCGTTTTTATCATAATGGTGATAACATCGATTATTATGGTTATTTGTAGTAATACTATTATCATTGTTATCATTATTAGTACTGTTATCAACATGATCATTATTATTATTGATAAAAGTATCGTTAATATTAGTAGTAGTATCATAATTATTACTACTTTTGATGTTGTTGTGTTGGAAGTTGTTGTTCTTGCTTTTATTTTTATCCTCATCATTATTACAATTATCAATATCATCATTCCAGGTCAACAAATTTGTCTCAGAAGGTTTAGCTACCACCATGGATGATTACAAGGGCGAGAGTGCAAACGATACCCTCAGTACTGCATGGAACGGCATCCAGATCCTTGTAAGTACATGCACCAACCTAAAGACGCGTTCAGATACGGCGCGGTAAACCGCCTCAAAAAAATCGCGGTAATTCTTCGTATTCTGCCCAAAGTAGGGGGGGGCCTGAAAAGAGAATAGTTGCGCATTGTTAGGGTTAGGATCTGGGTTAGGGTTAGGGTGGCCGTGAAGATGTGGATAGTGCATAACTATTCTCTTTCCAGGCTTTTTGTCTACTTTGGGCAGAATCTGGAGAATTATCAAAGTCGCGGTGTAGTAGTAGTAGACTTTGGTTAACTTGTTTAGCAAAGGGCTAATCTGCCTCAAGGTGTTTCCCTTTTTAACTGATTCATTGATCCATTTCTTTTAAACGCTGTAAACAAAAAATTTCAGCGACTGGGCAGAGAACAAAGGGGCTGCGAAAGATATACAATTAAATACAGAATACAACTATAGATAATCAAATAAGCAACATTGACATTCAGCGTGTTTCTATTAGTTATACTGTATTATCCGGTTGAAGAAATAAGCGTATAATGCCAGGGAAGAGCAGTTAATATCTACGCGCATTACCAGGATAAAATACACCACTCCGATCTAGCCAGAAAAAAGGCGGTGAAAAAGTTCATCGAACTCTGGCTAAACAGGTCACCGCAAGGTATTGTGGGACTGCTAGGTCAACCCGGGATTGTAGTGTCGCGCGTGTCGGGGTAAAATTTTCCGATCACGTGATCACTCCTATTTCCGGTTTCTCACCGGTATGTGCACTCAATCGGAACGGGGTGTGTTTCTATCTACGTTATCCGGTTAGCCTCCCCTGCATTATCCTTCTAAAAGAAGGATAATTTTGCCGGTGAACGCGTAAAAGCTCTCTCCGGCATTATCCGGATAATGCCGGAGAAAGTGTGTTTCTATTAGGAAAACTTTATCCCTTACCGGCCATTAACCGGATAATGGCGGATAATGGCTTTAGATAGAAACACGCCGATTGACGTTGAACGGATAAGAAAAATAATATGCCACATGTTTCCCTCAATCGTATGATGAGAGAAAGAGAGTATGGCCCGTGTTCAAATTTAGTTTATCTGCTATTTAATTGCCATGGGACGCTACATAAAATAGTACAAAAATGTTGTTTATTGTGGTAAAGAGATTTTTGGCTGGCACCCGAATCGAGATCGCGCGCTCGATTCATAATTGAAAACAAGTCAGAAAAGACAAAAACTTGAACCAGCTGGATCTACTGGCTGCAAGCCAGCAATTGCAACCATTGATAATTCTAAACAATGATTGAAATTCTTCTAGGAAGCCTAACAATAAACACAATTGTTTATTCAAATATCACTGTAGAGACGATGTACAAATAACTGTGGAATCAACCAAATGGGATCAACTGTAAAACGAATTATCATGAGTCCCGAAAGTTTGAGTAGATTGTTTGGAAATAGAATCAATCAGATATTAATGGGATTATGACAACCGAGGGGGACGAACTTGCCTTGAACTTTGACAAAATCGGATTTGAAATGATGAAATTGATTGTACAAAGTTCTTTTTTTAATGAGCAAAGACGAAATCGGGACTGGGATGTGCGAGATTGGGAAGTTTCGGGACGACATTTTATGATAAAAAGTATAAAATCGGTTACAAAAGTGTTAAAATGGACGGGATCGTTTTTCCTTGAGGTTTATATACCATGAGACATAATTAAAGCAAAGGAACGTTAATAACCCATCCAAGTAATACTGTAATAACTAAGTGTCATAGTACCTGTTCTATCATAGATTTCTATTAACTGAAAAACTATCTTCTGGATCTGGATTTGAATCATGCTGTTGTTGTTTTAATTGTAATGGCGTGTATTATTCATTTATGAATATTTACAGTTGAAAATTCTTGTACACAGACACTACTGTTTCTTTCTCATATCAATCAGTTACATTAATATTTGTCCACACCATATCGTGACCTCAAACGGATCAGATTAGAATGCAATCAAACATCAAGCTAACATTACACAAACTTAGATGCTTAAATGAATTTTGTTCTATTATGTGTTGTTCAATTATAGATATGTGGTATTTATACAATTCAAATTGGTAACTGCAATGTTGGTCACATCCACGACCAACTCTATATCAAAACGAGCAGATTCTGATAGCTGAGGGTACTAGATAACAAACGTGTATCATTTTATACTTTTCGTTTTTATGCTTTTCGTGCTTGTTTTATATTTTGTATTGATTAGTTACATTTCTCTTCTTCTTTTTTTTTTTTGGGGGGGGGGTTCAAAAAATAACAAATCCTTTAACATTCGGTGTCCATGGCAACGACCTTATTTTGTTACTTGAAATGACCCACATTTTAATAATAATCAACCGGACAGCTTACCATGTGTTTCATTTTGTTGAAAATCACAGTATCTCTAAATTTCCAATATTTCTTGATTTTGTTTCATTGTAACGGCCCAGCTAGCGCTCAAATCCATCACCTACGTTAAGGCAACCAGACAGATTATCATACCCAAGGGTCTTAGCAAACAGAAAATAATCATTTGAAATTATGAAAACTTTTATTTTCAAAGTATTATAACTATTATCCGGTTTTCGTTGTTTTGTTTTTGTTTTTTTGTTTTTACACATATTGACATAATTACATGTGTTTTAACTTTTCTTTGTGCTCACATGATTGTACAACTGCTGTAACAATGTTCGCTTTTAGCACGATGTCACATTTGTTTGAATGAATTGAGTTGCTTTTTTCGTATTTGATGAAATAAATTAAGTCTTTCATTTTATCTTTGCTAACCTAAAGCTCGAATGCTGCGGAACGAATGGATACGGAGACTGGGCCGATGGGACTTGGGTCAATACAACCTCTCCAATGATCGAGATTGGTGGAAGCTCTTACCCACAGGAATACCCTGCAACATGCTGCGTGGTAAGATTAAATATATGCATGTAGAGAGAGAGAGAGACAGAGAGAGTTGAAAAGAGAAAGAGAGAGAGAGGGGGAGAGAAAGAGAGAGAGTGGGATAGAGAGAGAGAGGGAGAGAGAGGGAGAGAAAAGGGGGCAGAGGGAGAAAGGGAGAGATAGAGAGGGGGACAGAGAGAGAGAGAGAGAGGAATCGACAGAGAGAAGGGGGACATAGAGAGAGAGAGGGGGACAGATAGTAAGAGAGAGAGGGGCACACACAGAGAGAGGGCCGAGGGACGGAGAGAGAGAGAGAGAAAGAGAGAGAGAGGGGTGTCGTAGTCGAGTGGTTTGAGCACTTGACTGGAAATAAATGGTAAGGTCGTGGGTTCGATCCCCAACGCGGCACTTCATGTCTTTCGGCAAGACATAATTGCCACTCCATACCCGGGAGAGAAATGGGGAGGATGGTTAGACGACGACAGCCTTTGTGATAGTAATTTCCATTTTATTCCATCACCGTGATCATATGGTAGGAATACTCCCCAGGGAGTGGAGATGGTGCTAACTGTGCATCCAGGGACACCATTTCTATTTCCCTCCATTGTCATTGTCATAAAGCTTTTGGACTTGTGCCCAACCCCCTATGCATGCAGAGGATCCTGAATTCGCCACTTTGATTTCTTAGAGAAACGATTTTATTATTTTCTTTGCTAAAATATTAAAAATTCTTGTTTACAGATGAAGGATTGGATTTGTTTCATAAAGTGTTTGTGTGAAATACATTTGCATTGATTATATTTAGGACGCATGTAAGAATTTAGTTTCTTGAAAGAAAAAAAAATACATAAAGCTTAACACTTTCCATAATACTTTCTATATACGTGTATATAATTCGTTTTATTGTCATTTGTATATTATACCTTTTTCTCCTGCCCTGCATGTAATTAACAATTGCATGATCTGGGAATTATGTTTTTATTCCTTTGTCTGAACTATATATTTAATAAAGTGATAATTTTTTTGTTTGTTAACGTGATTGCTAAATTTGTCTGTTTTCTATCTCTTACACAGTTCGAGGATAAGTACACCATTCTTGAAGGTGGAGTCTGGCCCACCCCAGTGGACCTCGCCTTGTGTATGGGCAGAGCAGATGATGGCAGCGAAGTAACACCCACCAACGCAACACTCAATAAAGGGGTAAGAGCTTTATACCCCCCCCCCCCCCCCTTAGCACCCATCATGAATCCTTAAAGGTACTATGTCCAATTTGCAGGCCAAGAAAATGAAAAGGTTAAATCCCAACGGCATTTGAAAGATACTAATTTAGAACTTCCTAAAAAAGGTGGGGCTTAAAAATGTCTTAAAGTGGGGAAATATATACTATTAGTTGTCAAATCGACTTAGGAGCTATAGAGCCAATAAGTAAAAGTCTTGATTTTCAGACCATTGTACCGAATGGTCATACATTTTATGCTGCGCAAAGATTCAATCAGTTTAATTTTGGCCATCATAAGAAGTGGGTTATTGATGTAGAAAAATGTTCATGCACCCTTTACAGCTCATATTATGTATGTTATTACCAAAGAAGGAAAAAGCCAGTCAGTCACTCAATAGTGTCTGACAGTGAAGTCTAGCAAGTAAACTGGTTTTCTTGCATAATTTGAATATTAGGACACTGCTAACGTTTAGATTTCACAGATAGGACATACATGACATATTCATAATTCCTGCAAGTTCTACAGAATTTGAGGTTGGCTGCAAAACGGACATAGTACCTTTTAAGAGAAATTCCAACCCAAATTGACAACTACTCTAAACAAAAGCAGAAAAATCAGAGAAGCAAACTGAAGACAGTTTCAATTAAATCTGACTAAATATTAGAAAGTTATGCATTTTTTAAAGTTGCGATCACTATACGTACGGGCACTTCAAATTGGCTGAAGCGGTAATGTCAATGTGATGTAGTGCCGGACTACTTTCTCATCTGTCTCAACATATAAAATGACTAAAATTTCAAGAGTCAATGGCTTAGGGGGGTCTATTCTTTTTTAGAGGACCAATGATAATATATTTGAGTAGTGCCCCAAGAGAGAAGGAACTTACGAGAAAAACAGGAATTTGTGATATATTTTTACACGGTAAACGGGAGAGTTATCCACGTCACAATCCATTAACCAAACTACCAATTTTAGGTTCGCAGAGACTTAGTGATCTCATATTTCAAACACTCATAATTTCCTTCCTATTGGTCCGATACATTTCGAACTTTTGCCATTCTGTTTCTGTTGTTTTTCTGCTTTCATACGAATCTACTTATTACAAGGGTTGGATTGCCTTTAAAGGGTGTTTACACATGCCACGTACGTTAAACCACTGTGGTCATACGTGCCATTCATAGGCGCTGCAGGGATGTGCTCGGTGAAAATCTCAAGACGTGTGAAAGGGCCAGAATGTTATAGGAAATCAGGATTGAAAACTTTCCCCCTAAAATATGATGGCAAAATAATAAGTATTAGCAGAATTACAGTCATTTTTCCTTTTAAAATTTGAACTTTGCAACTGGCAGCGTTTTATTCACCGCAGTGTTGTGCACAAAAATGATGGCTTCAAATGTCACTCATAGAGAGGAAACTACAATGTCTTCAGACTACCTAGTGGTATAACTAGTAGTACGTGTGGAATAGTACACCGTAGTCGTATAATCATCGTTTTAATTAATTATCATTAACGTTATCTTGCAGGGCTGCTTCATGGCCTTCGAAGACCTTGTGATCGGTCAGATCGCCATTGTCGGTGGTGTCGGAATTGGACTTCTTGTCTTTGAGGTAAGCTGGGCCACTTGCTAGACCTGGGGGTGTTTCACAAAGGTCCTTAGCTGAACTTAACTCTAAGTTGGACTTAAACATTATGGAGAGCCATTTGTAGCCTTATAGGACATATATAAAAGCAAAAATCCAAGTATTTTAAACTTTTCACAAATCCATATCAAGAACATGTCATCTCCTCGATTATAGGGAAATATGAATGACTTGAATCAATATTTTATGCCTTTTAAAATAACTTTTACAAAATATTGTCAAGAATGCTAATGGCTATTTATATATTTTTTTTTATTCACAAAGGTCCTAAGCTGAACTTAACTCTAAGTTAGACTTTCACGTTATGGAGAGCCATTTGTAGCCTTACAATAGAATATAAATGAAAGCAAAAATTCAAGTATTTTAGACTTTTCACAAATCCACATCAAGAAAATGTCACCTCCTCGATTATAAGGAAATATGAATGACTTGAATCAACATGTTATGCCTTTTAAAATAACTTTCACTAAATATTTTCAAGAATGCTAATGGCTATTTGTATTTTTTTATTCAAACTTTGAGATTATTTCAATTTTGTGAAACACCCCCATGTAATTAAAGCCATACCGTACTAGAAACACTTCTCCCGAAAACCCCTCTAGCGCCATCTCAGGTCAACTCAGGTCAGCTGCAGCACGTTGACCATGAGATGGCGCTAGTACGCTAGGGCAGAAAGTTCGCCTGTTCATTATCGTTTCAAGAGGCATAGGGTTTGCCCCCACAGTTTACCATGCATGCAGTTCATTCCCTTTTGACGTTAATTTTTGCTATGTTTAGAAATATATATATTCATATTCCTTTGTTTGTTTTAAGAGGGGAAACGTGATAGCCAAGTAGCACATTTGATATATATTTTCTTTTAATATGTATTTTTCATTCAATATGTATATTTTCTGAAAGTTGAGATGAGTTTACAATGTAAGTAATCGTAAAAATAGCTGTGGAGCTCAAAGTGGATAGAAAGAGAAGTCAGAAAGGGATATTCTTTCGGTTTTGTCCTATAAAAGACTACTTGGTGTTGTATAAAGAGATTAGACCTTTCTTCGTGGTCACTGGCAGGTGGTTATCTCATCAAACCAGCTCTCAATGAACATAACAAAAAGAAAACCATGGGGGATTAACGGGTACCGCTTAGACATTGTTGGCTGTATAGAGGGCGCAAGTAGCTACAAGTAGTGCAGTCCCGCTTTTAATCAAGATATATTATTATTAGTATTAGTATTTATATAATTATCATTATTATTATTACTACATGTATTATTATTATTGTAATCTCTCTCTCTCTCTCTCTCTCTAGCTCCTGTCCATGGCCTTCGCCATCATCCTCTGTCGCGGCATCTCCAAGGGAGAGGACGTTGTCTAGGCAACGCATCCGTGTACCTGACCACACCCTAAACCATCCCCCCCCCCCCCCTCTATCTACACCCAGGTCCAAAAACGTATATAACATATTCAGATGCAGAATACGCCTTTCTCTTTCAAACAGCTGAAACTATACTACGAAAACACTGATTTAAAAAAAATATATATGGTATTTCATATATTCTGTTTGGGCGTCCAAATTAATATTTTTTTACTGGAATATGGGTAAAACAAGAAGTAAAGAATGATAAAATACCTCTTCTTGTATTGGTTGTCTTTTTTTTAGTAGTATTTCTTACTAATCATTAATATCGTGATAATAAACATATATTTTTCTGATTGAAAATCCTTGAATTTAGGCATTTACTGAAGATGATTCCATGCTATATTAGTTTTCCATTTCCCATTGTGTTGTAGTCATGAAGAATGCAATACTGTGACGAATGGAACAAAATAGAGACAATCTCGGTTAATACTTTAAGCGAGCACCTTTGAAATTCGACTTGCGTTTGTAACTTTGCACAGACAGGAAATAGGGGGTTAGGGTATTTTTGTACATAAACCATTCTAAATAAAAGTGAACTTTTCGAACTGTTTTTGTTATTACTACACAAAATATATGAAATATATTCCTTTATATTTTTTCTGGAAAAACATCTATGAAGGGGCTTACGAAAGAGGCTTATACATATTAAAGTAATTTTTGGCTGAGATAAGAAGTTTTTTAACCTTTATAGATAGTAAAGTACTTTGAAGGTGTGTAATTGTTGTTTGTTTCATCAGAATATTCATGTTATATGCGGTAGGATGTTGAGTACAATATAACACAAAAATATATATTTAGGATAAAGATGTATACATTTCTAACTTGGATCTCACTTATAAATGTTTAAAGTGTACATTATATGAAGAGTTTGAAGATATTTGTCTTTCAATATTCAAGAGGCTGTATTAGTCAAAAAATATCTATAATGGGTTTTTTAATTATTTTTATTATGAACTCGTGTTTTGGAATTATCTAAGATGTAAATATATTTAAAGTTGTCCTCCTACTCCTTTATCTGCACATGTACAAAATCCAAGGTTGCCGTTGCCTTGTAGTGACCAACCAATCTCATCATTACCCCCCATTCGAAGAAAAAATGTTGATGAATTTGTCATCTTGTTAAGAAAAACTCTGAAAATTGTTTCTTAACTTTTCTAAAAATCTTTTCGTCAAGTGTACTAATAAATAAACAATTAGCAGGATAACTCATTTATGTGGATAACGTGTTTGTGTCCTTATGTTTAACTGTATGGTTTGTGGATGATGTTTTATTCTTTTTATTGTTAGCATGCTAGTCTTGTATTTCAGACCTTCAATGTGTATATTGATGTTGGGTGGTTATTTTATTCAGATTTAATGAAAACAGGGTCTGACTATTGCAGACTAGCTTGAGAGTGACCTCGACGCGGTGCAATGATCTGGGGAATATATAAGCGCCATTTCGATTATCAACATTAATTATATTAATTATAATATTAGGTAGTAGAGGAACAATGATTATATATTTTGATTATCAACATTAATTATTACAAGTAGAAAAAGGATGATTAAATATTGATGTAAAAATAGATTGCACAAATTAAAATTTTCCCAGCATGACGACGATCTACATGCAATGTATCTTCATCATGTACATGCTAGGTTCCCGATTGTTCTTTATTTCTAATTCATATATGATTTCCGTTTTTTGTCATTTAGAATTCTTTGTAGCTAATATTCCGGCTGAATATGTAAATGAAGCAACACATTTTTTCTCTCTTTCTTTCTATAGACATAACCCTTATAGTAATGCTAGCAAAGGCTGAAGTTATATTGTGGAAAATCATAAGATTCAATTGACAATCGCGATTTTGCGAACATTTTGGAAAATAACGGACTCGTGGTACATTATTTCACTATTGAACAAACAAATAATTGTTCATACCTAAGTTTACAGCAGATTTGACACAGGATAAATCCTTCTTGGAGATAGTTGCAGGAGCTAGGTTTCACAGACCGGAACCTTAAAGCAGGACTGCACTACTTGTAGCTACTTGCGCCCTCTATACAGCCAACAATGCCTAAGCAGTACCCGTTGATCCCCATGGTCCACTTTTCCTTATTGAGAGCTGATTTGATGAGATAACCACCAACCAGTGACCACGCAGGGAGGTCTAATCCCTCCTGGCCAAGCTAGTGCAGATAGCTTTTAAGAATTATGTTACGTATGTCAATGCTCTCTTTCGGGGAGACGGTAACCATGTTTCCTCTCTCTTTCGTAAAATGTATATCTTATTTTTATTCTTTTTTTAAAAATAGATTTTGTCAATGCTTCATAATGAAACATGTAGATAAATAAAAAGAACATGGTATTCTAACTGATGGTACAATGCTAGTTTATTTCGTTACTGGTGAAATGCGTTCTCATTGAGGTTTAATGAGGTGCGTGGGGTCGGTGCAAGTATGTGTGTACGCGTGCGTGTGCGTGAGTGCATGTGTGGTGGGTTCGTCTGCGTGAATGTGTCTGTGAATCTGTGAATGATGCCCTGATGGCACACGCGATCGTACATCGCTCACAATGCATTTTAGACAGGCGGACATTAATTGATTTAAAAATTCAGTAGGTCTAAAATCGAGTGACTATTCACTGTAAATTGTAAGAACAGGATATATGTTTAAAGGTAATACACCGTTTTGGTATGGGGTCATGAATTTGGTTCAAATAAACATATTGGAAGCATATGCGATTTTACAACATTCACTGATCATTGTCGCGGTTGAAATCGAGTCTAAAGTGATGAAATTGTAAATAAAAACGCTTTATGTTGTATAGTTCCCTCTCAAGACTGATGTCGATCATGTAAGATCATTGTGTAGTATAGCCCAGTGGCGGATCCAGGGGGCCCCTTTTTGGAGATGGACCCCCCCCCCCTGGCGCTCAATGGGGGGGGGGGGGGGTGAGATTTCTCAAATTTTCGAGGGCCCCCAAAAAAGTAAGTGGTCATTCCCCCCCCCCCCCCCCCCCCCCCCTTAGAAATCCTGGATCCGCGCCTGGTATAGCCTCAGGGAAACAAAAAAGGGGCCAATGTAGAGAGTTGTCCTTTTCTATACAGGTTCTAGAACACACATTACTTTCTCGAGGGAAGCACAATGCATGGCCATTATTATAGACATAAAATTATGGCCCCTTACAGATTGTGTTGATGTATGTTCATGCATAATAATCAGCTCTGGCATTAGCAGTGTCATTGATTAGGAGAGTTAATTAGACCAAACTGGTTCGAGTTGGGCACAATATGGCGAATACTGCTTTGTTTGCCAAGCTCAAAATCAAAATAATGTACGCCACATTGTGACGAATTGAAATCAAGTTGGCCAAACTCTGTATAATTATATGGCTCTGGGCAACAGCGAATTCCCCTGCCTGATCAGGCACTGGGTAACAGACTACAAGGACGCCCTCTTTTGAGAAATGACGTTTCAAATAAATCATTATACAGGGTGATGCCAATGCGTGGAAGAAAAATAAAACTATATTTGACGGAGCAAAGGCTGAAAGAGAGGAAGAAGGGTGGATAGATGATGGTTGTAAAAAGGAAGAGGGAACTAGAAATAGATAGGAGAATGAGAGAGAGAGAGAGAGAGAGAGAGAGAGAATTCATAGCATAGAGAGAGGGGGGAGTGAGGTGAAGAGAGAGAAGAGGAGCCTAGAGAGCCTATAGAGAAAGAGAGAGAGAGAGAGATAGAGAGAGAGAGAGAGAGAGAGAGAGAGAGAGAGCGAGAGAGAGGGGGCGGGGAAGGGAGAGTAAGATGAAGAGAGAGATAGAGAGAGAGAAAGAGAGAGAGATAGAGAAAGGGAGAGAGAGAGAAGATTCATAGCATAGAGATAGATAAATAGAGAGAGAGAGAGAAGGGGGAGAGTTAGGTGAAGAGAGAGAAGAGGAGCCTAGAGAAAAAGAGAGGGAGAGCGAGAGAGAGAGGGACGGGGAAGGGAGAGTGAGATGAAGAGAGAGAGAGAGAGATAGAAAGAGAGAGAAAGAAAGAGAGAGAAAGAGAGAGAGAGTAGTCCGGGTGGCATTTCCTTGTCGGTCAGCATTCTCACTTACACCGGAACACGAGCAGATGTCCATCTACAACTCTTAAAAATATGTAACTAATCATCCAGAAGTACATCCTCCATTTTGGTACAACAGAAACTACAGTCAACTGGTAAAGTACACGTCGAAGAATCTGACCCTAAAGCTAATAGCTCATCTGTTTTTATGCTTGAAGCGGCGAAAAGAGCGAAATATTCTTTTTTCATAAGGTAATATATACTGTAGAAGAACTTGTCGGTGTGGGTCTTGGACATTTTTCTTTGTCTGTAAAGCTGCTACATTCAACGCTATCACGATTATACCGACAATACAGCATAAATGATTATGTTATAATTAATATTGTGTGCAAGTTGAATTATTGACGTAAACCGATGATTTAAAAGTATGGTTAGAGTAAAGTTGATACTATTATACTACTATACTACTACTACTACTACTACTACTACTACTACTACTACTACTACTACTACTACTGCTGCACTTTCGCTCATAAAGGTGGAATATTTTTTTGTTATCCCAATTTATGGAATTATTTCTAGAATATTTAAAAAATAATAGATCTAGATAATAGTATGCATTCTCAGATTTTATTGAATAATAATTTGCCAATGTGTGTTTTGCGTGACTGCTAAAGCATGTGTATGCTACTATGCTTATCAACTAGGGGACCTATGCCCTTAAGTCATAAATGACAGTAATTAGGATTAATTATGGCTCAAGACATGGGCACACAGAAGATTTATTTATGTTGGGAACCGGGGTAAAATGCAATAAATTATTAAAAATTTATTGCATTTTCTGTGTTGTTTTTTATTCATGGAAACTGCTCCCTACCCTAGCCCCCGCTGCGTACAGTCATGGTTCAGTGACAAAGCAATGGCCTCGTAACTGTGAGGCCCCAGGATCAAAACCGTGCCGATGTGCTATATTAGTGCCCTTTTGTAGGGCATTAATCCTCATTACTGTCATTTATGACTTAAGGGCATAGGTCCCCTAGTTGATAAGCATAGTAGCATACACATGCTTTATCAGTCACGCAAAACACACGTTGGCAAAATATTATTCAATACAATCTGAGATTGTTTACTATTATCTAGATCTATTATTTTTAAATTATTTTTAAAATAACTCCATAAATTGTGATAAAAAAATATTCCTACTACTACTACTACTATTACTACTACTACTACTACTACTACTACTACTACCTTTATGAGCGACAGTGTACAACTACTTCTAATGCTTATCATGATATTACAAAATATATTGATAATGATAATAATAATATAATAATAATATGAATAATAACAATAATAACAATGATGATAACAATAATATTTATATCAAACATGTTATAATGATAAGGATGAGGATGTAGTGATGATAGTTATGATGATGATGATGATGATTATGATGATGATGATGATTATGATGATGATGATGATGATGATGATGATGATTATGATAATGATGATGATGATTTTTCATGCTGGGTTAAAAAGCCAATTTGTATCTATCGTGTTCATTAAAAGCAGATACCCTTCAATTAAGTCTCGCTGCTAAACACATTATGGTAGCCGAGTTCAACAGTATATGTCTTTCGAGGATTTTTTTCAATCTTCTCCGAAACGCTCGAAATCTTCATCGTTGACAGATGATATCTTTAAGAGACATCTGTTTTCTTTAGGATTGTAGTTTGTCTGTTTTTGCGTTTTTAATTATGTTTCTTAATCCAAACTTGACCTCGGCACTGGTCCAGAACATGTATTGAGATATGTAGCCCTTTTTAAAACACACTGTTCAGCACTTGACACTCAAGTAGCAGTATGATAATATCGCCATCTGTGGAAAATGTACTTACAAGGGGAGAAGAAGAAAGGAAGGAGAACTAAGAGTAGTAGTAGTAGTAGTAGTAGTAGTATAGTAGTAGTAGTAGTAGTAGTAGTAGTAGTAGTAGTAGTAGTAGTATAGTAGTAGTAGTAGTAGTAGTAGTAGTAGTAGTATAGTAGTACTAGTAGTAGTAGTAGTAGTAGTAGTAGTAGTAGTAGTAGTAGTAGTAGTAGTAGTAGTAATGGTAGTAGTGGTAGTAGTAGTAGTAGTAGTAGTAGTAGTAGTAGTAGTAGTAGTAGTAGTAGTAGTGGTACTAGTGGTAGTAGTAGTAGTAGTAGTAGTAGTAGTAGTAGTAGTAGTAGTAGTAGTAGTAGTAGTATAGTAGTAGTGGTAGTAGTAGTAGCAGCAGCAGCAGCAGCAGCAGCAGTAGTAGTAGTTGTAGTAGTAGTAGTAGGGGTATGCCTAGTAGTAGTAGTAGTAGTAATATTTAATAGTAGAAGAAGAAGAGGAAGAGGAATACGAAGAAGAAGAATTAAAATATAACGAAATAGAAGAAGAAGAAGAGGAGGAAGAATAAGAAGAAAGTGAAAAAGAAGGAGGTGTACAAGAAGACGAAGAAGAAAAAGACGATGAAGAAAAAGAAGAAGTAGAATCAGTAGCAGAAGAAGAGGAGAGGAAGAAGAGTAGAAGAGGTGTAATTTGAGATGTGTCATTGAGCTAGCATATCACAAGTAACATTATCTTCCATCAATTTCAGCCAGGACTCTTGTCTTTCGCTCACCGACTACATTTACATCAAGGCAGTAACTAAAACTTTCATAAGAAACTGAAATTATAATAATGCAACCAAAGTCGCAAGCAGAAGCGAAACCCATGAAGTAGTTGGAAGTACCTTATGAATTATTTAGATTGACTGTGACGTTACTGTTCTTTCTGTTTTTATTCTTCTTTTTATACATGTAAATAAAACAGATTTCCCTTATATGGGCATTGAACATGTATTCCATTTAATTCAATTCAATTCCATTTCATTCCCCTATTATCAATTTGTTCAGTTGCCAGCAAAGCAACATTTTTGACGCTTCAATTTATTACGAAGAGATGATTCCGTGTTGTTGAAATATCTTTCTCAATGCAATAGCACGACCAGAACACAAACTTATCTTTACCATAAGTTAATCTTTCTATTTATAGCGTTTTGTAGTAATAAATGAGTTTGTCATTACAATCCACTAGCACACATGTAGCCAATTCCCAAGACCCCACCTCGCTGCTGGAATAAGTGATGATGGTTGCCTGGTATTTCAAACATTCTGAGGGTGGCAACCCCAGGCCCCACCCCCTCATTGGCCCATAAAATTGGCTGAACAGATCAGTTAGGTTTCCCTTTGATTGAATAAATAATATAAATTTAAGCGACCCGTGCAAGCTTAACTTGACCTAAATCAACCACGCAGAAACAAGAAGTGGGCGACTTACAATGGTATCAGGCTAACCAATCCGGCATGATTACTCTCAACAGCCGGGTCTTTGAATATAACAAATATATTGTTATCAGAAGAAAAAAAATATTGCACTGGGAATAGTATGATACTACACAATGGTATTTGCGTAGGCGCGCTTGGGAATGCTAGGTTTCGGCAGCATGTAAGGCAAACAGCAGATGATAGTGTAGTTTATGAATGGAGATGGCATTGAAGCAGTATTGATTTTTATTTAGTTGAATTCATATCAATTTCGGAAGGCCGCGTGGCTTCCCTATACTTAGGTGGGCGTGACACAGTATACCGTGTACACCATCCGGTATACTGCTACTGTGTATAGGTGGATCTATAGTATACTAGCTAAGCTAAGAGACGTTAGGGTGAAGCGAATTTGGGTCAGACAGTGCTCTCGGTCTTTTGGAAGGAATCTACACGATTGTGTCGACTTCTTTTAGCAGTTATCCCCAAAGAACCTTCTACTTTACATCCTATCCGAAGGTGTTATACGAGGACCATGATGAAAAAGCAATCTAAGCGTGTCGTGGCGACGAGAAGCCAGAAAGTCGTAACATCGACGCCTCGCGTAGTCTCGACGACATCGTACTCGAGGTCCGGTGCGTCGACAGTAGCTGGAGATTCATTGTCGCTCCCGAGTCCTTTGAGTTCGTCGTCCATGTCTACGTCAATGATGTCCACGCGAGGTTCGACGACGACGTCGTCCACGCGAAGATTTGCGTCATCATCGTCGAGGTCGTTCATCAGGGAAGAGGACGAACGCGAGGAGATGATCACGTTGAATGATCGTCTGGCGAAGTACATCGATTCCGTGCACGCGCTCGATCTCGACAGCAGCCGGGCTCAGCTCCTCGATGTGTCGATCGTCGAAGCTAGGCAGACGGCGATGGCGGAGATCCGGGCGATTTTCGAGAAGGAGTTGGACGATGCCCGAAGATTGCACGCCGAGGAGAGAGAGAGGCTTAAAGGAGAGTGTGCGAAATATAAAAGTGAATTGTCTGATCTAAAACCAAGGTGAGGACTTCTCTAACTTTCATTTCTTCTACTACCCTCTCCTTTTAAATTTGTGTCTTCATCATCATCGTCATCGTTTTTTTCTTATTCTGCTTCGTCTTCTCCTTCTTCTTCTTCCTCCTCCCCTCGTCCTCTTCTTCTTTTCCTTCTACTTCTTCTTCTTCCTCTTCCTCTTCATTTTCTTCTTCTTCTTTCTTCTTTCTTCCTTTCTTTTTTTTTCTAATATACCTCTTCTTCTCCTCATTCGCCTACATACTATCCTTCAAGTTCTCCTTGCATAATTAAGACATTATGTTTTACAGATAATTTTAAATTCCTGTTGCCTAATTAAAACAAAACTAAAAATGTTTTGTACATTTTGGGGTCACGGGGAGGTGCCCTGCTGATCAACGTCATTACGCCCATGACTCCTTTCCCCACAAAGGACCGACCCCCTTTAAATTTACATAAAATATATACTTAGAGGTGTCGTGGCCTAATGGATACGTCACCAGACTTTGGATCAGATAGTTTAAGGTTCGAGTCGACCACGGTACTTACATCCTTTGGCAGACATTAATCTACATTTGCCACTCTCCACCCAGCTGTTAAATGGGAAAGTTGATTTTCAAACAAGAAACGTCACCCTTTGCTAAAAAAAAATATAAAAGCATTATACAAATGTGGGGAATTTGGGGAATAGATTTCTGGTCGACACGCACCGAAATTCCTAAATAAATTAATTTGCACTCCACCCCAACAAAAATAAAGATAGGGAGGGAGAAATTAACACATTATTTTCATCTCTTTTCAGATTGAAGTCGGCGGAGAAAGAGAAGAATGAGGCAAAGAAGCGATTATCCAACCTCGAGTCTCAGATAACCGAGAAAGATAACCGGATCCGATTCCTGGAGGAGGAGCTAAACCGGGTCAAACCGGAATTGAACAACAAAGACAAACAGCTGAAAACCGCCAAGATTGAGGTAATTGTACTATGAAATATTTAATTTGTGTGTATGTTTGTTTATTCGTTTGTTCTTTTGTTTTCTTTCTTGCTTTCATTCTTTCTTTTTTATCACGATCATAAAGACTTTCGGGAAATCAACTGAATTTTGATACCATGTTGAGAATCCATGACACATGCTCCGCCGACGATTGCTCCGCCGACAAATGCTCCATAAAAAGCGACAATTGCTTCGCGACATTTGCTCCGCGACATTTGCTCCGACGTCAAATGCTCCGCCTACAGTTGCTCCGCCGACATAATGCTCCGCCGACATTTGCTCCGCCGACATTTGCTCCGCCGACAATTGCTCCGCGACATTTGCTCCGACGTCAAAAGCTCCGCCGACAGTTGCTCCGCCGACAATATTTCTTTCATGGGTTATTTTTGTTTTTGTTTTGTAATGAGGATTAATGCCCCACAAAAGGGCACTAATAGAGCACATCGACACGGTTTTGATCCTGGGGCCTCACAGTTACGAGGCCATTGCTTTGCCACTGAACCATGACTGTACGCAGCGGAGGGGTTAGGGTAGGGGGCAGTTTCCACAAACAAACGAAACACAAGGAAAATGCAATAAATTATCAATAATTCATTGAATCCCCCCCCCCCCCCCCCGGTTCCCAACAGGAAATAAAATTATGTGTGCCCATGCCTTGAGCCATAATGCAAGGCCGTAAGTATTGAAAATGTATTGCATTTTGTGTGTGTTTTTTTATTCATGGAAACTGCCCCTTACCCTAGCGCACGCTGCGTATACAGTCATGGTTCAGTGACAAAGCAATGGCCTCGTAACTGTGAGGCCCCAGGATCAAAACCGTGTCGATGTGCCATATTAGTGCCCTTTTGTGGGGCATTAATCCTCAGTAATGTCATTTATGACTTAAGGGCGTAGGTCCCCTAGTTCATAAGCACAGTAGCATACACATGCTAGCAGTCACGCAAGACACACATTGGCAAATTATTATTCAATTATTATCTATATAGATATATATATATTATAGATCTATATATTAGGAATAAATTATTTTTAAAATAATTCCATTAATTGGGGTAAAACAAAAATATTCCAACTATATGAGCGACAGTGTATAACCAGGCATGTTTTTTGTTGTTGTTGTCTATATGTTATTGTTTTGAGGGACCTGACCTCTACAAGCTAAGCTTTAATAAGGTCTCCTCGTCTTTTCTTCTTTTTTTCTCACTTAAATGCATTATATGAACTTGATCCTCATAAGTGTTCCTTTGATATACTCTACATGTTATAAATTTGTTAAATCGTATTACATTCATGTTGGAAGAAAGACAAATAAACTTGAACTTGAACTTGAACTTGAACTTGAACTTGAACTTGAACTTGAACTTTAATGTCCCATATAAATCATGTTTGGATTACGTAATACACCCCTGTAATGCTTGTATATATCAGTAAGTTTTTGTTTTTGTATTTATTGTTATTATATTCATTCAATACATGTACATCATACAAATACAAATTATTTCAAATTGTATTACATAACATATACAAAACTCAATTATTTAGAATGAAAAAATCTTATCGTCATAACCCCCTTCCCCAAATTAAAACACAAAACAATGAGGTGAGTGATAAAAACGTTACTGATTTTTTCGATAATATTTGTTTATTATTGTGTTCAGTATGACTTCGAGCGCTAACCATAACTTCATTGTGGCACTTTAACTTGTGAAAATGTGATAGGTTCGATTGCAGTTCATCGCTGGTTAATTTTAAAGTGCGGATTCATAGAAAATCACAAATATGGCAAATAGCGTATTACTAGAAACTGGTAAGCTAACAGATGGCCATCGTGCAAGTTTTAGTTCAACTACATATCGGGTGATTTATAAAAATACAAATAAAACAACCTCTATAGCATCTGGGATATGCGAGAGATTCGCCGGAAAAATAACGATGTTTTAATGCCGTCACAATATGAACCAACCCTGCCCAAGCAGACGACACCCCATAAAGAATGAACATAATTGCAATGCTTTTATTTCTCAAATTATAATGAGTTTAGTGTATATAAATGTGATGGAATTTTACATCATTCAAAACGGGATATGACCCCCATTCTGAAAACTAAATGCTTTTGTTTGTAAATACACAGGATAGGGGGTAATGAACAATCAAAGAAACCACACTTTCAAATTAAAAAAACCTCCGGAATGATAGCATGGACGTCATTTGTTCCCTCTTGAAACGCCGAACATGCCGCGGTGTATGCAGCTGAAAATACAATGGCGTCCTATTTTGTTTACAAGCGACAGATTCCTTCTCCTTCTTTTTTCCTTGCATTTTTCAACCAAATAATACCATGCACGGGGTTTAGAGTGAGGCAATAGATTAAACATTTCGCCTGAGGGTATTGAAGTAAGAGAAATAACTGAAGAAAAGATGACATAACAGGCAGTGAAATTGTGTGAGATGTCATGGGACATCGTCTGCTTGTGCACATCATGTTCAACATGTGACGTCATATCTCAGCAGCGACCGGAGAGCTTTTCAGGTGCTATGTCAGGGCTGTATCTAAGCGTTTTGTAATTGTTAATAATCATTACTTTGAATGTTGTCTAAGCATTGGCTTTTGATAACCTTGGCCAATCAAAGTGTCACCTTTGCAATAATGACATTAAAGTTAGTTTTTTAAATCAATGAATCTTCTCTTTAACAATCCATACCTAAGCTTAAATTCTATCTACATGTTATTGACCTGCATGGGGAGTGTTTCACAAAGACTTAAATCTAGTTATGCAGGCTGTTCATGCCGCTGTTTGCTCTCACCATTTTGATCTTAAGATAATATTTTTTCTTCAATTATAAATTACAAAAATATATGGATTCTGTAGATTTGTGTCCATAATATGTACGTCCCTTGAGAGACAAATGCCAGTAAACGGAGAGAGCAAACAGTGGCATGAACGGCTGCCCAACTTCAAGTAGATCTTAGTCTTGGTTTGTAGATACAATCTGTGCATGAGTAGATAAAGGTCACCTGTACCAAAATTGTAAAAACTCACCGAGACAAATACTGGATAAATTCTTATGAAAGTCTATGTAATCATAACTCATTTATGCTCCGACGGTACATTCTATTAAACTCAGGTGGAAGTATTCTTTTCAAGAGGGCAACAAAGCTTATATCATGCACCTCCATCACTTTGGCAGTGATTATTTCTAAAATGCACAAAGTGGGACGTCTCGGTGTATAAAAGGTCTGTGGATATTTGGGGGTCATCTGTAGCAAAAGCAAAGCTAACAATGAACTGGAACCCGTTTCACAAAGCCTATTTTCAATGACAAATGACAAAAATCAGTGACAAATCTGCTGATAACAAATCAGAAGCAAGGATTTCACTAGCTAATAACAAAAACTGCCATGTGTCACTGGTGACATGTTTTGTGAAATGGAGCCCTGCTCTATTATGGTAACATAGGAGGTCAAGTTAGATTTGAAAAAGAAACCTGTGATCCATTCCATTTCTACAGCGCTAAAATTATCATTGTTTAACACTTGTTTAAAGTTATTCTTGTTTCCAAGGGCACGTACGGGTACCTGATCGTCCATGTCAAAGCTTATAATATTCCTATTGTAAGTGTTTGATCTTCCCATGAACTTTGCTTCTCTGCTTTGTGATCAAAAGTTGTCTCTTATTCAAATTTATTCAGTCTGATAGGTATTTTGTCTTCACTAAAAGTCACAAAGCATATCCCGCAAAGCGAGAGATGTATATATTACAGTTATTCATGGTAGGTTGCGCCCATTGACGGCTACGTGACTATAGACAAAAACCATGATGATAATGAAACCATTGACACACGACAGGCGACTACAGTCAAGGCAATACAGAGTATATGCACATAATGGCAGTTGTAAAATAAGGATTTGGGGGAATTGAGGGGAGGGGCTTAAAGGTTCTTGCATTCAATTTATGCTGATTATTTGCATATCTCTTCTTTCACATTCGAAAACTTCTCATTTAGGTATTTTGATAGACTGATGCTCAGATTTTGATAATAAGCATCACTATATGATTACAAATCCTTCATACTTTTCATCGAATTTTTTTTTTTTTTTCCATTTTAATATGTTGATCAAAATGTATTGTTTTGTATATTCTCTTTTTAGATCGAGAATGGGGCGATCATCCGCGAACAGCTAGAAAAGAAAATCCGGGATCTCCAAAAGGATCTTGAATTGCAGGAGGAATACTATAAGAAGGTAAAATTCACCAGATGAATTTATCCGGGGTTAATTGTAGTAGTAGCAGTAGGAGTAGAAGTATCATTATTATTTTTATTTTTAGGTGATACGTACGTAGACGTATCACCTTTTGATTTCGTCAAGATTTTTATTATTTATTTATTTATTTATTTATTTATTATTATTCTTCCTCGAATTTGTTCGCAGGATATCTCAAGACTGAATGAAGCCATTGTTATGAATCTTTCAATGATGATAGATCTTAGTCTAACTTAGAACTGCGTGACTTTTCAAAGACTCAAAGTCATCGTGACGTCATCCAGGCGCCATTTTGTGAAAATCAACTAATGATCATATCTTTATAACGAATAATAATTTTTCATTCATATTTATCATGATTAAGATCAATATCCGTCCGGTCAAGTTGAGGTCAATAAACGTGCGTAAATGCGCGCGTGCGCGCTCGTCCGTGCGTTTACGCGCGCGCAAAAATTAAAAATGCTCTAAATCATCCCAAATTTTTTTTGCATACGTTTTAGGCCATATGGAGCATTTGATAAAAAAATTACGCACACGCGCATGCGCGCGCGTTTTCGCGCGTACTGGCATTTTGCAACATAGAATCGCCGATTTTTTCCTGTCATCATATTCTGTACATTTTTCCAAGCATTTTGATAATTTGTTCACCTTTTATTAACGCAATGAGCGTCCGTCAAAGTTGACAGCACGCGCGGATTTGCGTTATCTTTATCCACAATACATGGGCAAAAACATGCCTATATAAAATTCATTGTAACTCTTTAGAAGAGATAGAAACTCCTAATATTTTGTCATATTTGGATAGATTATGAGTCGGAGATATGATTTCATGTCTCATTTGATCCTCAATTAACTCATGACGTCATCATAATGGCCTCCAAACTCAAAATTTTAATTTGCATATTATGACGTCAGCATATTTTTGGAAAATTGATTGTATCTCTGTAAATATGGATCAATTTTCTATTTAATTTTGATATGTTCTAGCTGAGACAATTTTCTACAAATGTAATGTTCACAATTTTTATTTTTGACAAAATTATCATGGTGTATTTTTGCGATTAAAGGAGGCATGTCAATTTTTCGCATTTTGCGTGTATTCTCTATGGGACATGACTTTTTCTCAAAACTGGATTCTACACTCATGTCTTTCGCGAGCAAAATCTCCGTTGTTTTAGCTTCGTTTTCGCTGAGCTTCGGATATGTTGTAGCTGAGACAATGAGCTATCACAAGTGTGCCCTTTATTTTTCGATTAGATGCCGGGATCATGCTCATATTTCACTTGCAAAGTAGGATTTCTGAATTCCATTTCCTGTTTACGTGTAATCGCTATGGGAGATGTTTTGGTATATCGGTAACGCACTTGACTTCCAACCTCGAGATCCCTGGTTCGAGTCCGGGTGTCTCCAACACTTTTTTTTCACTTTTTTTTCCTTTTGACCTACACTGTACCATCTCCTTTGATTATTTAAACACGTAGATTCGCAAATAATGTCATAAATAACCCTTTTTACTTTATTATTACCCTATTTTCACTTAATCCATTACTTTTTGCGTGTAATCCCTATGGAAATGACTTTTTCTCAAATCTGGAGTCTACATTCCTGTCTTTTGCGAGCAATATCGCCGTTATTTCGGCTTGGATTTTGTTGATTTTTGAGTATGTTGTAGCTGAGATTATATGCTATCTAAATCAACCCTCATTTTTTCAATAAGATGTCATGATCGCGCTCATGATCATGATCATCACGATCATCATTATCATAATGATGCTAATCATTTATCAATTACAATTTCATTTCTTTGAATAAGATAAAATCGTCAAAAGGTGTTCTTCATGATGTAAATTAGAGTCAAATGTGTAACTGGTTACTGCACAGGGTCAAAGGTCATATATTGTTTTAATCTATCTTCCCTAGATCCATGATGATCAAGGAGACACAATTTAATCTTGACATATGAATAGATCATAATGGGAGAAGCATATGAATGGGAGAAGCAAAATAATATATCGTGTAATGCATTATTCGTTATGTAAACCATTATCATACGTATCACCTAAATCGTCTAAGTGACGAATTAAAGTCTAGTTTTAATATTATTATTATTAGCATTGATGTTATTATTATTATTATTATCATCATCAATATCATTATCAGTAGAAGTAGCAGTAGTAGTAGTAGTAGTAGTAGTAGTAGTAGTAGTAGTGGGAGTAGTAGTAGTAGTAGTAATAATAGTAGTAGTAGTAGTAGTAGTAGTAGTAGTAGTAGTAGTAGTAATAGTAGTAGTAGTAGTAGTAGTAGTACAGTAGTAGTATAGTGGGAGTAGGAGTAGTAGTATCATCATTACTGTTATTAGGTGATACGTAACGAAGTCAACGTATCACCTTTTGATTTCGTCAAGATTTTTCTTTATTAGGTGATACGTACGTAGACGTATCACCTTTTGATTTCGTCAAGATTTTTATTATTTATTTATTTATTTATTTATTTATTATTATTCTTCCTCGAATTTGTTCGCAGGATATCTCAAGACTGAATAAAGCCATTATCATGAAACTTGCCATGATGATAGATCTTAGTCTAACTTAGAACTGCGTGACTTTTCAAAGACTCAAAATTATCGTGACGTCATCCAGGCGCCATTTTGTGAAAATCAACTAATGATCATATCTTAATAACGGAAAAGTATTTCTCATTCATAATTATCACGATTAAGATAAATATCCGTCCAGTCAAGTTGAGGTCAATAAAAGTGCGCAAATGCGCGCGTGCGCGTTCGTCCGCGCGTTTACGCGCGCGCAAAAATTTAAAATGCTCCAAGTCATCCCAAATTTGTTTTGCATACGTTTCAGGCCATATGGAGCATTTGATAAAAAAATTACGCGCACGCGCATGCGCGCGCGTTTTCGCGCGTACTGGCATTTTGCAACATAGAATCGCCGATTTTTTTCTGTCATCATATTCGGTACATTTTTCCAAGCATTTTGATAATTTGTTCACCTTTTAATAACGCAATGAGCGTCCGTCAAAGTTGACAGCGCGCGCGGATTTGCGTTATCTTTATCCACAATACATGGGCAAAAACATGCCTATATAAAATTCATTGTAACTCTTTAGAATAGATAGAAACTCCTAATATTCTTTCATATTTGGATAGATTATGAGTCGGAGATATGATTTCATGTCTCATTTTATCCTCAATTAACTCATGACGTCATCATAATGGCCTCCAAACTCAAAATTTCAATTTGCATATTATGACGTCAGCATATTTTTGGGAAATTGATTGTATCTCTGTAAATATTGATCAATTTTCTTTCAAATTTTGATATGTTCTAGCTGAAACAATTTTCTACAAATGTAGTATTCACAATTTTTATTTTTGACACAAGTATCAAGGTGTATTTTTGCGATTAAAGGAGGCATGTCAATTTTTCACATTTTGCGTGTATTCTCTATGGGACATGACTTTTTCTCAAAACTGGATTCTACACTCCTGTCTTTCGCGAGCAAAATCTTCGTTGTTTTAGCTTTGTTTTCGCTGAGCTTTGGATATGTTGTAGCTGAGACAATGAGCTATCAAAAGTGTGCCTTTTATTTTTCGATTAGATGCCGGGATCAAGCTCATATTTCACTTGCAAAGTAGGATTTCTGAATTCCATTTCCCGTTTACGTGTAATCGCTATGGGAGATGTTTTGGTATATCGGTAACGCACTTGACTTCCAACCTCGAGATCCCTGGTTCGAGTCCGGGTGTCTCCAACACTTTTTTTTCTCACTTTTTTTTCCTTTTGACCTTCACTGTACCATCTCCTATGATTATTTAAACACGTAGATTCGCAAATAATGTCATAAATAACCCTTTTTACTTTATTATTACCCTATTTTCACTTAATCCATTACTTTTTGCGTGTAATCCCTATGGGAGATGACTTTTTCTAAAATCTGGAGTCTACATTCCTGTCTTTTGCGAGCAATATCGCCGTTATTTCGGCTTGGATTTTGTTGATTTTTTAGTATGTTGTAGCTGAGACTATATGCTATCTAAATCAACCCTCATTTTTTCAATAAGATGTCATGATCGCGCTCATGATCATGATCATTATCATAATGATGAAAATCATTTATCAATTACATTTTCATTTCTTTGAATAAGATAAAATCGTCAAAAGGTGTTCTTCATGATGTAAATTAGAGTCAAATGTGTAACTGGTTACTGCACAGGGTCAAAGGTCATATATTGTTTCAATCTATCTTCCCTAGATCCATGATGATCAAGGAGACACAATTTAATCTTGACATATGAATAGATCATAATGGGAGAAGCATATAAATGGGAGAAGCATTTTACAGAATAATATATCGTGTAATGCATTATTCGTTATGTAAACCATTATCATACGTATCACCTAATTTGTCTCAGTGACGAATTAAAGTCTAGTTATTATTATTATTATTATTAGGTGGTCTGTTGAAAACAGATCACCTATTGTTTTCGTCAGAATTTTCTTTCTTCTTTATTATTATTTATTTATTCTTTATTTTTATTTCTCCCCCTTTTTTGTTCAGAGGATAACTGAAGATCAATTTAATCAATTTCTTTTAATTTTGGCACAGTCATAGGTCATTGTCATGAGACGTGACAGGAACATTTTCAAGGTCATTAGGTTATCGTGACGTCATCCAGACGCCATTTTGTGAAATCACGTTATCCATCATATCTTTATGATGCATAAGCAAAGGTCATTCATATTCATATCACATATACTTCAAGTCAAGGGTCAACAGGTCATGTCATCAAAGGTCACCTAAAGGTCATGACGCGCGCGTACGCGTGCGTCAAAATTTTAAAATGCTCAAAATAACCTAACTATTAAACGAGAGTACGAATCAGGTCATTTTAAGCATTTCAAAATTTTCCGTCCGTACGTGTCCCCGCGCGCGTTGCGCGCGCTCACAGCGCGCGGAAAAAGGTC